AGCAAGCTATTTAACTCAAGTTGATTTTAAAGATTTTTATTTTTAATTATTCATATGCACATGTCTGTGTGTGGCTATGTACAAGTGAGTGGCAGATGCCTGTGGAGAAGAAGAGGGTGTTGGATCCCTGGAGCTGGAGTTGCAGGTGATCAAGAGCTGCCTGTGCGAGTGCTGGGAAGCAAACTCAGGTACTCTCAGCTGCTGAAGACGGGATGCGCGATTACATTCCTAACAACATAGGTTAAAAGAAAATGAAGTAAAACTGATAGGACTACTATGAGAACTTTATGAAGTGATAACAGTGCATAATTTTATTATCTGTTATTGGAAACTGATAGGTCAAAAAAATCAAACACATAGAATATGAAGGGGATCTAGATTTAAATTGTGCAATGAAGAGGAGGAGTGTGTGTGTGTGTGTGTGTGTGTGTGTAGAACTCCATGCCAAAATAAAGCTGGTCAAGTCTCCAAACACACTGAAAACATGTGTAGACTTGACCATGTTCTGCATTATAGAGCAAGTTTCAACAAAACCAGGAATAATTATTATCTAATTTTCAATATCAGTGCAATTAAATTTGAAATTAGCAATAGAGTTATTTTTAAAGCTGGAGGATAGTTCCGTGATAGCTGAAATTTGATCCACAGTACAGAAATATATTTATATTTATTCTTATATAAGTATATTTTACAATAGATATAGATAATTTAAATGCATATATTTGAAAAGTAAAAAAATTATTGCCATGTAAAGTAAAAAATAGTGATATAAAATTATTTCAAGCTCAATAACAAAAATACCATATTAAGCTGTTCAGTGTATCTAAAGAGATTTTAGAGAGACATGTTCTTATTTAAGGGCAAGAAAGCCTTCAAAGGTGTGAATTAATTTTTCACATAGAAAAAGAACAGATGGAAGCAAGTGAAACAAGGAGATAAGAGAAATCAAACCAGGCTTGGTGCATGCCTGCACTTGAGGCTGAGAACCAAACAGCGGATCTCAAGCTTGAGGCTACCTAGCTACAGATGAAACTCTATCTAAAAATATAGAGAGAGACAAATTAATTGAGATTTAAAGAAAAACTGCCCACATATTCATTTATGTTCTATTTAATATCTGGTATCTGGAAATTGAACTCTTGACTCCTGAAGTCTGGGAACTGATCCCTAGATGAATAAGCCTTCGATTAACCAAAAAGAGCAAAACTGGGGTAAGGTAAATGGACTTGGGGTGGAAGTTGGTAAGAAAGTGCATTCCGATGCTTTGCTGTCTCAAAGAAAGCAGGAAGGGAAACGGCACCGTCTTCTAAGCTGAGCTCATGTAGCTAAGATAGCACGGAGAGTTGATCCTTCAAGAGTCCACACTGCACTGGGGAATTTGGGCATGGACATGTGCCCTATAGCACAATGGATTCAACTAGAGTCCACCAGGAAGTCATCAGAGAGTGCAAGGCTGCACAGATGGGCCAAGTATGCTGTCCTAGAGGACAGAATGAAAAACAAAATCAAGAGGTACTAAGTAGTCAGGAGGCCTAGGGCCAGGAAAGCACGCAACTCTATGATCTCCCTGCTCTGCACCAAACAAGATGAACAACAGTCTCAGAAGTGCTAAGTGTCAATAATTGGCAAAACAATAATTGTCTTAAAACCGAATTTTGTTCCAAGTCCATTAGAAGCAGCAGCCATTATAAAATAGGGATGAACTAGTGTGTGTATCACGAATGCTTAATACTGGTATTAAGTCTTTAGAGTAACTGTGTAAAAGGCCAGCTCCAGGTCACAAAGTTTTGCTTCTTGAAATTCAGTTCACAGCTTTTTATTAGTTGTTCTTTAGACTCTTTAATTTCATTTTCTATTCTCCGTGTGTTTGTGTACATGGATGTCTTTGCGTGTGTAGGCCTGAGATTGATGTCTGAAACATCCTCCTTCACTCCTCCATTTTAGTCATCGAGTCAGGGCCTCTAAATGAAATCCAGAGCTCTCCAATATGGCTATTCTTACTAGCCTGCTAGCCCTGGCTCCACCAGGCTAGACTCTGAGGCTAGATTTTGGGCTAGCCCACCCGCCCAGCATTTCTGTGTGACCGTAGGATCCAAACTCTGGTCCTCGTGCTTGTACTGAAGGAGCGTTAGCCACCGAACCTTTTCCCAAGACTGTTTTAATTCTTCGCTGCTTGGGTGAGATCTGCTATGTGACAGGGCAGTGGTGACAGGAACTGTCTTATTCTTACATTTAACTTTTGGAGACGCTCCTAGAATTTATTGTTAAATCTGGTGGCTGATGCCAGGTTTTAGAAGATACATACTTTGGCTAAGGAAGTTGCCTTCTGTTTCTAATTTGCTGGTTGTTTTTGTTTATAATGAATTAATAATAAACTTATCAAATACTTTCTCCTTATGAAATAATCATGGGTTGTTTTTGCATATTAGTAGTTTCGGCTTGAAATCACTCTTGTAATTTTGGCCATCTTGAAACTTTATATTAACATATACTTTAACTTTATTTACTAATGTTGTAAAGCCAGAATTCTTCATGTAGGCTACAACATAAATTGATAGTCAATTTTTTAAAGAATTGTACTGTGCTTATCTGATCTTGTCTTCAAATCTCAGAAAATTTGTTGAGCTTAGATTCTCTTATGTTTTATGAAATGCTTTATATACAAAACAAGTTCTTTTTACTTAAACACCTGATAGGCTATACTGTGAGCCATCAGTCTAACTTCTTGTTGTAAGGAGATTTGAATAATAACTTCATTTGATCCATAGTTGCTGGTGTGAATTTTCTGTCTTGAGCAGACATCTGTTTAATCCAAATTTTTGAACAGCATATTGTTATGAATGTGGAGAACCCAACAAATAGGTAGATGCTATTATAGGAATCATTTTAACTTTTAAAACTCAATCCCAGGCACTACTACCAGTGATTTGTGTGTTTTAATGCTGAAAGCCAAAGCTAGGGCCTGATTCTTTCTAGACAAGTACTCTACCACTGAGCCACTCACCACCCCCACCAGAGTATTTTGGGGGTTCAGCAACTGAAGGGCCACATTTTGGGAATCATGGCTCTGCAATTGTGATTTACAAAGCAGGAACTCCTGTTCAAAAACACTAGGTGTCCCATTAAAATCTGCCAGTCATTAAAATAAATGCTCCCCATCCTGGTCTTCTTTGCCCTCACTGTGATGAAATACCCTGATGAAAGCAACTTCAGCAAGAATGGGTTTGCTCAGCTCACCCTTCAGGGATACAGCCCGTCATGAAGGGGAGTCAAGAAGCTGCTCCCATCAAATCCACAATCAGGAGCACTGTGCACAGCAAATATCTCCATCTTATACAGCCCAGGATCAAAGCCAGGGGATGGAATGGCAATAGTCCTATGTAACACAGCTGCCCAGAGGCCATTTTCACTGTTAATTCTAGATTCTGTCAAGTTAGCAATGCCAATCTTCATGCTCCATTTAGTTAATCTTGTACTTTAGACTTTATGTTTCTTAGCTTCACAGTAGATTACAAAGCACTTAGTTGTGTGGGTTGTTACTGTTAAATGTATAGGTTTTGAAACTATAATTATTATAATCTGTGTATTTTAATTATCTGGGTGGGGGGACGCATTCTGCCTGATGTATCACTGTATTGGCTTGTCCACAGGCTGCTAGCCCAGCTTTCTTGGGGTAACTTCTGCCATTCCTCTGTGACCTTACCTCAGATCAGAACTCGGGAAGGGTGGTTCCTCAGGATTGACCATGAAATGAAGATTTTATGGCAGTCCTTGATAGTCTTAGATTCTAATCTCCCTAAATTCCAATGTTTCTTAAAAGATGACCTGGGACAATAAAAGGAAAAGCCTCAGGCATAGCCACAGAAGTGCCACCTGCTTTCCTTGTCCCTGGGTTGTGGCCACAGCATCCTGACTTCCCTCTTGGGAAAGAAAGCACAGGAGCTCTCAGAATCCAGGGAACTCTGCAGAGAGCAGGCACACTGCAGCTTTGTCACATGTGCATGAAACGGACTCATTGGTTTGACAACTTTGTGACATTTCAAGTTCAATAATTACTCATGTATGAGTCTTTAGTTCTTCAGAGATTACATTTCTTCTAATCAATGGGTTTCTTCACCAAAGGGTTTGTAGCTATACCAGCCTTAGCATAAGTCAATTTATACATCTGCCCATTTAGAAAACATATAAACTTAGGTATTTCTTTAACATTTCCTAGTTACATGCTGCAGTGTTTCTCACTGTGGCATTACTTATAGACTGAAGTCTATGTGTGTGTATGTATGTATGTATATATATATATGATATGCATATTTATAGATATGAATACAAATGCAGCATTTTCAAAGCATGCATAGCTAATTTTAAATATTTAATATGATGAACAACTGAACTATTAAACAAGAATAAGTGGAATAAAATGCAGGAAATATATTTATCACATTTTTTAATTTTTTATTTTTTGTGTTTATCACATTTTCAAGGCATAATTAAAAAATAATCTCTAAATGATGACTTATCGACCTAGGCCCTGGTTTTAATAATTAAAAATCATAACAAAGAATGATTTTACTAATTGAAATCTGTTTTGACAAGCCCTTATTTCCCTAATAAGATGGCTTCCTGAAAGTACCACAAGAAGTTAATGAATCCCATGTTAATTAGGTTTGAACTTTTTTCCTGCGGTATTCAAATGAAAAAACCTGAAACACAGTACATTCAAATTGCTTTTACTCAATTGACTATTAGTGACAAAGTAAATATAATATATTATTATATATTATTATTATTATACATGAATGCGGTAAGAATCTATAGCATTCAAGCTAGAATTTCCTAATTTTGAACATTGATTTGTCTTTTAAATTCATTTTGTTTCTGATAATTCAAATACTAAAGTAATGTTTTACAAGTATTTCCTAATTGCCCAACTGAGACCTTCCACGAGAGAATGTATTCTCAGAAACTAACAAGTGTGTGTCCTTTTCTTGTCGTTTTGTTAGCCTCTTAGCAAGTACCCTGCTGTGTTCAATGACATTTCCTTCTGGCTGCCCTCTGAGAATTACATGGAGAACGATTTCTATGACATCGTCCGAACAGTCGGGGGAGACCTGGTGGAAAAGGTTGATCTTATAGACAAGTTTGAGCATCCAAAGTAAGTGAAAAGCGCTCCAATTTTCTCCCTTACCATCTCTGTGTGACAAATGGGACCTGGAAACTTACAACAGAGTTTCGCTGAAACCTGTTGCATCAGGACACACTGTCTTCTGAATTCTTACTGGGAGGGAGGGTGTGTGTGAAAACTGCCCTCTCAGAATATTTCCTAAAATGCGCCCTTATCCTTTCCTGCCTCGGTAAAGAAAGTGTCTGAAACAGTATTTGAAAGGTCCTTTATCTGAGCAGGGGTTTCTGGCCTTGTTACCGTCCAGATGCAGAGTTGATGAGACAGGGGAAGAAGTCTGTGATGCAAACCTTAGTGCACATGTACTAAGCGACACGAGAGCCACTGTTGGTCTTCCCGCACATTGTGCTCCAGTGTCTTCCCTGAACTTGCTGTCTGGTGGGAGGGGCACATAGTACAGAAATAGCTACACACACTGGCCGTCTGATGAGGGAAAACACATTTTCAGCCCATCAACGAGCTGATGCCAGCTGGGAGATTGGATCAGCTCTTGAAGATATTGAAGGTGAGCAAATAAACATGATGACTGTAATATCCCAGCTGCTCCAGAGACTGAGGCAGGAGGATTTCAAGTTCAAAGTCAGTTTGAGCTATAGAGTGAGTTCAGGAATGGGCTGAGACCTTAATGAGATCCTGTCCCAAATTTTAAAGATAATAATTAAAAAAATGACTGAGCATGTAGCTCAGTGGTTGAGCATTTGTGTAGCATGTGGGAGGTCCCAGGTTCAATCTCTAGCACTGTAGAATACTCAGAAAAAAAAAGTGTGCTGAGCATTCTTTGGATGGGAAAATAACATTCCAGAAAGCAGACTTGAGAGCCAGACATAATCACTCATGCCTATATTCATAACACTTGGAAAACTGAAGCAAGAGGATTGCATTGAGTTCAAGGACAGCCTGGGTTACATAGTGAATCTCTGACTCAGAAGATTAAAAGGGGAAAAAAGAGCTACATAAAACAAAATAGAAATCAAATTAGAATCCTCTGGTGGGACAGAGTCACATACACGATGCTGAAGGCAGCGAAGAAATGTGGCTAGAGACACTAGGAGGAAGCCAATGAAAAGAGGTGACTCTTAGGTAGAGATGTGTCCATAGGATCAGCCAGTGCCAAAAGGTGCAAGTCTGAGACTTGTATTTTACATTAGCTGTGATTATAAGCGTCAGAAGTGTGTGAGCAGGCGAGATGGGGAGGTGCTCACCTTCCTGGCTCATCCTTCTCCAAAGAACCTTCTTGACTCCCAGCTGTTGGAGACTGGATGGTCACTGCATCTGGCCTAGCACCCCTCCGTGCCCCCTTCCTGGCCTTCACACTTGTATCACACTTGTTGCTCTGCACTTCCACTCTCTACCCTGCTGAACACGGTCTCTCTTGTTTTGTTCTGTTTTGTTTTGTTAACTCTTCTTTCTTTCTTTCTTTCTTTCTTTCTTTCTTTCTTTCTTTCTCTCACTCCCAGCTCTTGCCTCATTTTCCCCATTACTTAGAGATCCTAAAGTTCATTGTCAAAGGCAATGTTTGCTCAAAAAACTGTGGAAACAGTATCTTGTGACCTATGTGTCTTCAAAACTGGCAGTCTGTTTATACCTAAATGAGTGTCACTTGGGTCAGACACAAGGTGTAGTGTTACTCTCTTGACTTTTTGAGTTTAACTTGGTATGAAGAAATCTAAGGCCACGCTTGACCGTTTTCACTTTTTGTCCTAAAGGATTTTTTTGTTGTCTAAAAAGCCGGCTTGCTTGATCAGGGTCCTCTCAGTGGGAACCTTCCTCCCATGTGCATCTTTCCGAAATGAGAGTTGTCTGCTTTTGCTTTAGGTGAGCTTTCTTAAATTCTTTGTTTATGGGTTCATTCTGAGAATGTCCTTCATCTGACTCTGCTCCTATTATTTGTCTCTCTCATCTTCTAAATCTCTTTATTTCCACTTCACCTAGTAGACCTCCTTACTATGATAGACTCTGGCCTTAGGTTTATCTTTTCTGTCTCTCCTCTGTCCACACATCTATACTCATTTTCAGTCACTGCTTCCCCCTTTGTGACGTCCTGAGAGCTCACATCCTGTTCCTCTAATCTTGGTATGTCTGTTGTTGTTGTTGTTGTTGTTGTTGTTTCGAGACAGGGTTTCACTGTGTAGCCTTAGCTATCCTGGAACTCACTCTGTAGACCAGATTGGCCTCAAACTCAGAGATCCACTTGCCTCTGCTTCCTGGGTAGTGGGATTAAAGCTGTGTGCTACCACTGTCTGGCTTCCCTATGTCTGCTTTCTGTCTCATTAACAGAGAAGTTGCTTTACTTGGTTTTAACGAGTCACTGTAAAATATTTAATCAGAAATTGTATGCACTCCAGTGGCAGCAGTCTTTCCTCTTAGCATTTCTTGTTAGTAAGCTTTTCTACCACTTTCCTCATTCACTCTGTTTTGATTGATGAGTGTGTGGTAGAAGTGGGATTGCCTTTTTGTAACTCATTTGAATGCATTGGGTTTCCTGGACCAAGTGCTGCACAAGCTTGGCAGGTGAGGTTGGGAATTGACCTGGGGTAGAGGATGGGAGGGGGGGTGGGCACTCAAGTCCTCCTTCATGGTAACTTGTTATATCAGTAAGACTTCTTTTCCCCTCTACTCCCAAGAACCAACTCTTTGCAGATTTGGAGAGAGAACCCAAGGCCTCCCATTTGCCACTCTACCACTGAGCTATGTCTCTTGACATATTTTTTCTTTTTATGTTAAAATGAGGTCTCAGTAAGTTGCCCAGACTGGCTTTGAATTCACTCTAGTTCAGGCAAACTTGAACATGGATCTTCCCATCTTGGCCTCCTGAGAGGCTAGGATTGCAAACTTATGCTGCCAGGTCCAGCCTGAACTTTCATTCCTGCCTCCGACCCAAAGTCTATTCTTGTTCAGAACAGATGTACTCTTGTTTATCCAAGAATGGACATTTACTGACACTTCCTTTGCACTTTAGACTATAAACCTCAGCTCTTGGGTAAAAGCAAAGCTATTTGTTGGGGTCGTTTGAGGTAAGATATTACATGTGTTTCTTTGCTTTTGAGATATTACATGTATTTCTTTGCTTCATCCTATTGGCTTTCTACTTGATTTCCACTTTTGGAACCTGCATGTGCTACTTGTCTCCTGGCTTTACTAGAGTGCCTGACTGAAACTCAATGTCTGCTGCTCTAGCAGCTCTTTTGTACCAAGGTGTGACACTGTCCGGAGAGCAGTACCAAAACTGCTGGCCCTGGGGCGTGTCACCTCAGCCCTGGTACTATGGGTGAGAGAAAAGCAGCTTATTGAATACAGGTGTTTGTCGTTCACATCCAAAGCTAAACCTAGTCCATACCACTGAGGAGCATATCTGAGGAGAGATGTTTTTTCGCCATGTTGCTCACATTCACAGTCTCGTGGGCAGAGGTCGTCATGCTTTCTCCAATTAATATCAAGATTGTTAAACATTTTCACTTTGTGGACCTTCTTGTCTCTCCCACACGACCTGACTGCCACTGCAAAAGCTGCCATAGACAGAGTGCATGTGGCCAGGCCTGCCTGTGCCCCAGGTCAACCTAGGAGTCAGATTTGGCTTGTACGCTACAGTTTGCTGACTCAAGACCCCACTTTGAGTCTGTAACCCTGGCCTGGGAGGTTGTCCATCCTGAACATCCTGCACCCCCTTCCTCTTTGGAAGGCCTCGAGCATCCTACACCCCTCTCTTCCCATGGAAGACCCTCTGATCATCCTAGAACCCCTCTCTTCCCATGGAAGACCTCCCTAAGCAGCTTGCACCCCCTTCCCAAATAAGGATCCTTGAGCATCCTACACCCCACCCCTTCTCCCCATCCCAAGGCCCCTTGAGCATCCTGCACACCCCTCACCCCATTAGAAGGCACCTGGTTGTGTGGCGAGTGAACTTGTCAATACCCACCATGAGTGTTCTCTGCAGATGTAACTGAACATGCTACAAAGGCGCCTGAACCCTGTCTCTGCCTGACATCCAGAACACATGTCAACATGGAGGAAGCACAGAGACTCCTCTCTGAGATAAATAAGTGTTGAACAAATTGCATATTGTGTTTTGAACAAAAGCACATCTCAGGATATCTGAGGGAAACATAATCTACTGAATACGGGGCTAATTTCATAATGTTCAACAAATGGAGGAATTTTGTCTCAATTACAGATAACAGTCTGTCCCCTGCAGGAAGATAGATGCATGGCTTAGAAGAAAATGGCATTCGGTTCTAGCTGGTCATTCAGAAGCTTCTTCCAGAGGGTCACTGTTGCTTCCTCTCTGGGACTCTTAATGTACTAAAGGGAGTCTGTAGTTCAAAAGTTTAACCTAACAACAAATGCCATCGTGGCCACCCCTTCCCAGGGTTGCTGTCTGGACCCCTGTGGACTATTGCTCTCTAGGCATGTTCTGTGTAATGAAGGTAAATCATAAGTCATCTTATGTGTGCCTTCAACTCCCTTAGAAGGCAGCAATCATCTTTAGTCTCTGCAGCTTTAAGTTCATGCAGCTTTAAGACTGATAGTGCCAAGTTTATTTTCTTAGGCGACACAATTGTTCAGAATATTTTTAGCCTGAGGCATGAGAAAGAGTAAAGAGGAACTGGGAAAAGCAAACCATTTTCTCCAGGCTCACACTCCATTTGGATATGGCAGCAGGTTATTGTGAATTATAGAGATAAATTATCAAATAAAATGGCCTCAAATAGGCTGCTTTGGGTTAAGTTTAAGACATGTTGTTGAGAGAATTAAAATTTGTTTTTGGGTTTTTTTTCTTTTGCATATTTGGGTTGGCACTTAAGAAATGCATAGTGGTAAAAATGCAGGTATCTGCAGCAGATACAGATGTCCCCACACTGGCTTTGCTCGTAGACACAAGTCTCTCTGGGACTGCAGTACTGCCGCTGTTCATATGGTCATGATGGGTGTCTTCTGAACCTTGTTGGTCAGAGCTGGGACACTAGAGGGATAAA